TGATACAAATGAACAGTTTTTAAATTGACAATGTGATGTCACAAGAGTAAAACTGATCCTTGCAATACTGCAGTCTGTCACTGCATCTCTGACAATGTTCTGGTAGTTCAAAAAAACACTGTCTAGCAAGGTATCTGGTGATGAAGTGAACTGGTTATGGTAGCTCTGACGTGTGTTTATGTCATGTTGCCGTTTTTCCAAAGAATTTGCTCTGGATAGATGTAGACGAGAAGCGAAAACTTACTTGCACTAAAAATTGCCTTACTGCAAAAAAATGGTGGTTTACCAGAGGTCACAGATCAGATTATCACATGTACGGTAAGAATGAGCTCGCTTTAGCTTCAGACAAGTGCGCACTGCAGAGTGGGGTTTGTTACTTGTGCATCTTTCTTTCCAGATGTAATGACTAGTGGATTCTGAATTGCATGAATGCAGTAACCGTAGGGTTTTCGTTATAGTACAGCTGTCCTTATTTTGAAGGTACAAGAAAAGGTGATCGTCTGGAATAGTGCTGCTTCTTCTAGGAATGACTGTGCTGCTCCTGGAAGAATGGTTACATGGTTAAATGGATGTGTCTAATCTGTGCATAATGTTTCCATTCCCTCAGGACACCTGGGAGGACATTCTTATTGGCGATGTGGAGATGAAAGGGACAGTGTGTTGTGCCAGGTAAGCATTTGAGACCGTTATTTTATGTAGATGTATAGAGATTTATGATGAGCTGTTACTGATTTGGCACTGTTTGTCATTGCAGGTGTATTTTAACAACTGTTGACCCAGACACTGGGGTCCTGGACAGGAAGGAGCCCCTGGACACATTGAAAAGGTTGTAAAAATACCAGTGCTTCCTAGGCTGCGGGAGTGGGTTTAGGCTAGATCCCAACAGATGTTAGACTGGTGTTTTAAAAATGGTTTGAAGTATGTGTGGGACGTAATAACACTGTGTAAAGGTCTATGTATATTGGCTTCCATTCTACTTTCTGCAATTGTATATAGTAAGAAAATTCAGGAAGTTCTCTCTTCTTTCTTGCAAACTTTACCTTCCCTGTCTCTTTCATGTCTGCTAGGGTGAATGCCTGGGTTAACAGATACTTAAGGTATTTAAAGGTCTAACTTTGCAACTTTGGCATTTCTTTTTATAAAATCTTTTGTGTGTGTGTTCTACACAGACATGTGAATAGAATCAGGCTTTTTTTCCTCCACTTGAACTGCTTGTTTCTCTGAATTATAATAGTTTTTAGTCTAGTATGGTGACCAAAGCGGGGCATCACTATTCGTGTGTTCTCTGTTATCACTGATATTTTGATGTTTGGAATTTGTTGATGATGATTCTAAAAAAGTGCTCTCTCTCTGCAGTTACCGCTTATGTGATCCATCTGAGCGACACATATACAAATCCAGCCCTCTCTTTGGAAGATACTTTGCTGTTGACAAAACTGGAACGATTCAAGTTGGAGACCCTGTGTACAGGATGGTCCAGTAATGAGAGAGACTTTGATCAGAAAATGCCTGTTCACTATGATATGCAATTTATTTTCCAACTAATACAGTCACCAGCATAACTTCTTCTTATTCCTTGCAATATTTTTTGTGCTATGTTCCTTTGTAAGGTGCAGAGGGGGGTCTTTGAGGCTGCCAAGTGCCAGTCATTTCTGATCATGTCATTTACTATCATGGCTGTAGCCACGTCTTTAGATTTTTTGTAGGCTGTGATAGAAGAAGCTGTAATCCAAGACAGACTTCACAGCACTACTGTGAGTATCACACCTCCTAAAATTTTAAGTCAAGCTCGCTATCGGAATCCAACATTAAGTACAAGGGCTTTGCACTGTATATTATTTCAGTTCAGTGCCTATAAAGAACCACAAAAACAGTCATGCCAAGCGTAAATATGCTGGTCACAGAGCTGCCTTTACCAGTGAACATGGAGTGCAGATGGCAAGGCTTTGTCTGAGATTCCACCTTGCTTTGGTCCTAATCATCTTACCCCATGTGTCTGGAGGTACGTTTTTGCGATGTTTCTTCACCTGCAGTCATTTTCTGAAGGTTGCTACTGTCTTTTGAGATTGGAGCAGTATCAGAAGGAGGAGGATTGTGAGCTGTCTAAATGCTACTTTAGACTAGAGGTGGGAACACTGGCTAATGATGTGTAAGACTGTGGGTTTGTTTAGTTTATGATCTGTGCTTGACAGAGTTTGAACCATCAGTTTTTTTCTTCTGTGAAGCATATTATGACACCGAGTCTGTGCAGCAGTGGTGCATTTGGAGTGATGTATTTGCTACCATATCAGTAGAACTTTGAATGTGACTAAAAGGGCTAGGTGTTTGCTGGATGGGAGGCTTTGTGCACATTGGAGTGGAAGAAAAGCTGTTGGGAGTGAGCTTACTCTGAGCCTGCCCCATTCAAGTTGATGTCCAGGCCAATATTGTAGGGCTCTGTGTTCATGTGTAGTTCCTCTCTGGCTCAGTGAATCTCTTACTATAGAAAGTTAGGCTGCTAAGCAGATGCTTGGAAAGCTGTGGTTTTAGACTGAGTATGTTAACATCCTTACTGGTTACGCATTTAGATCTCTGGTTGCTCCCCACCCCTGACCTTATTCTAACTAGTGTCAGCCATTTGTAGGAAGCTGATAATTATATTTTCTGCTATATTTTATACTGCATAAAACAGATAGGGGAGGAAACTAGTTGGATTATGGCAGTAGTATCTTTTCTTTAAATGTTGTATGATTATTAAAAAAAAAAAAGTAGACTCCAAGACAAAAGCCAGCCAGCCATCTGTCAAATGCTTATCTGCCTGTTGCTTTGTTATGGATTACTCTAGCCAAAAAGAGGAATCTCATGAAGTATTAAGAAGGACAAATATGACCCAATTTGGTGTTTAAATTCTTTATTTTCTGTTGTGAATATGAAACTGAAATTTTGCTGCATGTTCACAACTCAGACCTGTAAAATGAAGTCGTGTGCCTTTGAGCAAATTCAGACAGATGTACGTGGCAAGCCTGAAGCAGGCATATGGGGAAGGTAGTTTATTATTTGTGAACTCTGAGTTGCTTCGAATATCCTTGCGTTAGCAGAGTGCTCTATAAGTATTAAGTTTTCCTGTGACAGACAAGTGCCCAGTTCAGACTGCACGTTTCGTATTTGTGCAGTCACACTTCATGCAGCAACTAGTGGGAGGAAGTGAGAGAAAAGTATCTTTTGAAAGGGAGAATAATCCTGATTATTCTTTTAAAAGGCATATGTTGAAGAGCCTTAATATTAGAAGCTGAAACCTTGTGGAATTCCTAATAGTATCATTAAGTGCAGACAGCCTGCTAGGCTGCCAAAGCAATTAGTTAAGTGTGTGTCTCTTCATTAAGTCAAAGAAGCGGAAGGAAATAGAGATGAATTTTAGCCTCTAGACAAATGTATTTTTTCACTGTCGTTTTAGCACCACATTAGGATTTATGTAATACAAATTGTGTGGTATAGATGATGTTGCTTCTCATTAGGCTATCATCGATTGGGCTAATTTGGAAATGGGGCTGTGTTTCCAATGAGAAACTGCATCTGCATTCATATTAAGAAAATACCATAGATCTAAAACCCTGATTTATCCCTGCAAAAGGCCCTTAGAAGAATTTGGCTCTAATTCTAAAACAGGTATGCGTCTGAGTACAACACATTTCACAAATGATGCTTAAATCAATTATGTGATGAAAGAGGGCCGTTCTGGGAAGTGGAGGGAGTGACTTACAAATGTTACAATGTAATTTTCTTCATACAAATGTTGAACTGCTGTAACTGTAGGAATTGTATTTGATTTTGCTAAAGCCATTCAGGAAATTGACTAAACACATGTAAATTATAACATTTTAAAGTACACAATTTTAAAAAGTTTTAATTGTTTCTCTAACTGTAGAGGAAGAAAACAAAAGTATAAACTTCTGTGGAATCCAAACTCTTGTAAGGTGAATTTGTGAATCTTCTTTTTTCTTTGTTTTCTGTTTTGGCATTTATCATCTGCTGCTGTTTCCAGGACCTCATACGTAATAATTTTTTTTAATCTTACCGCTAAGTTTACGAAGATACACAGTGAAGCAGAGGAAGCCATATGCGTAAGAGAGCAGAACCATCTAATGCAAGTGGTCTTCAGATCAAGTTTTACAACTCTTATCACAGAATCACAGAATAGTAGGGTTTGGAAGGGACCTTTTTGGGTCATCTAGTCCAACCCCCCCGCCAAAGCAGAGTCACCTACAGCAGGCAAACCCTCAAAAAGGTTTATTAATTTATTAAAGTTGGGCTTTATTCTGCCTGTAGTCACAAAAATTCCAGTGGACTAGGAGTATAAACAGAACAATTTTTCATCAGCTTGTCAGAGTAGTGTGTGCTTAATAGGTTCAATAGGAACCTTGTCCATAAGACAATATTTCAGATGTCCAGGGTGTACATTTCTGGAAGGATCTTGTATTCATTTTATTCTTAGGAGAATTCATTAACAAAGAATTGCAATTGAAATGGAGGCGGAGAGCATAAAGGTAAGCTTTAGCAGTAGGGTTAGGAATGAAAAGCTGTTACTGTTCTCCTTCTGGTAGTTAGATACATGTATTGACAGGAAAAAGGACTGATTATTCTGTGAAGATGCTCTTTTAAAGTAATTGCTCCTCTCTTTTAGGGGCTTACTAGTTATCTGGGGAGGTGAACTGTCATGGAGACATGTTTTCATTCATTTCCCACTCTGTTTGATTACACTATGAATGTGCAAGTTTTTAGACTGAAGTTAAACTAACCATCCTTCTCAGCTCCCCCTGCCTGAAATCCCTGATTGCAAACTGTAATTTGTTGGTGATGGGGGGGGGCTGGGGTCTCCTCTCTCTCTCGGCGCTTTTTGCCGCCTCGCCGCTGCGGTTTTGCCACCGGAGAAAGGGTCCCTCGGCGCGAGCCTCTGCTCCAGAACCCTTGATCTAGATGATGAAAAATGTGTTTACAGAGCATCTTTTTTCCTGCATATGAAAACAGGAAAAAATGGATTTGAAAGTAGGAAAGTGTAGGACACTCAAGGAAACACAGAGTCATGTTTCCTACTTCAGGTCTCTAAGTATAAAGCCAAAACTTGTTTTACAACACTTACTGCAGCAACGTAATTCTTGCAGAAGACCGTGTGAGAGAAGGACAGTCCTTGCAGGCATAAATTTCCTGGTTGCTTAAAATTTGAGGTGGGTACATCTCCTCCAGCAAAGATTCACCACCACCACCCACCCGCACCCCCCAAGAGAAAGATCCCTGTTTCTGCATCCTGGAGAGAAAAAAAGCCTTCCAAAGGCATGTAAACACTATGTAAGCACTTCTCCATAAGAAAAGAGATTCCTGGCCCTTGACACTGGAAATGGCCACGGTTTCAAAAAGGGCTGCCACAGGGTGTTAATTTCTGGTCTATTGTAGCATGTTAAATTGCCTTATTTTCATTTTGAGATCCATAAGAAATGCCCTGTACTGGGCAGCTGCAGGGCTGAGGACTACACCTGCAAAGTCTTTGTTTCTTTCAGGCAGAAGGTTCTTAAAAAATAATGCGGGCATCAAAACCACTTGCGTATCAGTCTTTTCTTCAGCTGGGAGAGGCAGCATTCATGCCTCATAAAGGTTCCTGTTTTCACATATTCTACATAGCCATTGTGTTAATGTCAACAGTATCTGCTTAGAATATCACTGTTACTAGTAATTATTTTTCATCTTACCCACAGGCACTGGTGAAGTCTTTAAGGGTTTCGGACACTGGGCCTCTTCTGAAACAAATCTGCTTACTCAGCGTGACAATATGGAGATTCTGGAGCTAGAACCTTTACTTGTATTGACTTTCCTGGTGTGGGACAAGGGTTTTCACCTATAGATGTACTCCTGATTTTTTTTACTTTTATTTGTTGGTGTTCCTTTTCAAGTATCTTGAAACAGTGCCATGCCTGCCTGCTGGCCAGGCTGCTTTCTGGGCAGCGTATGGAGAATATGCCCACTGCGGAGAGGGGAGTGCGGGATGCTGCTGTGTGACTGCACTGTGTTGCATGGGAGCATGCGGTACTGGTCAGTGCTGGTGAAGCAGGGGTTAATACCTCTTGGCTCCTCAGCTGGTAAATGACACTTTGGGATTGTTACAACCAGGACCTGGGCAGTCAAGCCTAGTGATAAAGCTTGGACTGAACTTGTGGTGATGGGTCATACCATCTGCCACAGCTGAGACTGGCATGAAACCATGAAGTAAAGAGCTGAGGAGGTGCCCATCTACAGCAAGGGAAAGGATGGTTGGAAGGGGAAAGGAGGTGAGCAAGGCTCAGCTGTGTAGAGGGTGTGTGTCTGGGCTGGAGCTGCAGGAGGTGAGTCTGTGAATCAAAGCAGGGGTTGCGTGTTCTCAAGCTATTCCTGTGCAGACAGATTGAGAATAAGCCTTGGTTGTAGGGTAGCGTCAACTTCCAATATTCGTCACAGCTACTTGTAGCCTGGCCTGAG